TTTTTTTTTTTAATATCTATTCTGAGTAAAACAAACACAGCGTCTCCTTTTTGAGCTTTTCCCTGTGCTTGAGTTGCTCTCTACATATGTGTATTCATTCTTCTAGAAGAATATTTGAAGTGGCTTTGATAAGAGACCTCCTATGTAACAGAGCACAAAGTACAAGCTTTCTCTAAAATGCCAGTTAGTGATCATCCCCGAACCTCCCGGCAAGATCCGGTTGCCCGAACGGTGACAGTAGGTCAGACGGAATCAGTAAATGACATGTATTTGTTCCTTGCTCACACTGATACTCGAGGTCTAACTTGACTAACATATAAATTCAAGCTATTTAAAAACACCAGTACTATAAGATGCAGTCAAGACAAACAATAAACTTTTATATAAAGCACAATACTTAAAAATAATAATAATTGCAGGAATTTTGATTATTCTGTTTTCTCTTTATTTGCTGCCTTCTTTCTGAGCCAGGAGAGGTTACATTTACAAACTAGTCTCTCCAATATATGTCTCCAAAGTTTGTTCATAATAAAAAAAAAAGGAGAGAGAGACCAAAAAACCTTCATTCTCATGTAATCATATTATTCTGAAAGATAAGGATATCTGAAGAAAACTGATTATACTGAGGCTTATGACAAAATCATGATAAAAGCTAAAAGTCTCTGAAGTAAAGAACATTTCTCATCTATATCTTGTCATATTAAAGTGTTTAATAATTAAAAATGATAATTTCCTTTGAACAAAAACTGCAAGATTGGGCTGTTCAAAAAAGATGCTTACTGCTTTCACTCCTTTATGAAGGAAATACTGTTTTCATTAAGGACTTATGCTGCCTATACTTGCATCCAAATATGAACCAGTGTGTAACACAGCCCCTGCATCTTACTCTTGTTACCCTAAAGAAGCAAGAATCTCTGTCGTCGTCTCTGGTGCTTTTTCCAGCTTAAGCATCTCACAGTCAGCTTTGCTTAGCTAGCCACATTCAGGAGATTTGCTTGGGAGACTAGGGTTATATTATAGCTATGGTACCATAGGTTTATATAAAGGCATACTTTTTCAAACCCACACGGACTCTTTGCCAGGCTGTAATCCTAGCTAGATTCCTTCTTCTCCCATAAAACAAAATGCATTTAAAAAGGAAGGAAGAAGAGACCAGTCAGTGTATAAAGAAAGATATCCATGCAAAATATGTTAAAGCAACTCTTAAAATAAACTTTTCCATTAGTCATACTCAAATAACATGAGGAAAGAAATGGAGACTATTTAGGTAATGTTTCAAGTGGGAAGGAAAATGAGCCAGATGCTCAGTCTAGTCACTCATTCGTATTGTGTGCAGCAATTTCCTTCTCATTGCTTTATAGGTCATTAGGAGGTAGCAGGAATCTTTGCCAGACCAGAGACCATGTACATGGGTGTCATTATTGACTGAAGGATTCACATGGGGAAGAACCCAAGAGTTAGTAGCTAATATTGTACTTCCTCTTTGAGGTAAAAATGCACTTAGTTAGGAAGAAAGATTTCTGTCTTGCAAAAGGCTTCAACAGCCGCATCAAGCTTCGTGAGATTTAATTCTGTATATGTCTGTTACTCGCAAAAGAGTTTATGGCCCCATGGAAGAAGGCATTTGGTCTGTGGCCCTGTAGGTTAGCTCTGCGGTCGCAGAACGGGCAGGCATGAAGATATCAACGTTACAGCGCATCAGTTTTTACACAGTTCCTGGGGAATCTGCTAAGAAAGCGAAATTTGCCCTATATTTATGTCCAGCATAGACCTTTATGCAATGAACATGCCTGTAAATTAATGCAGACTTCTTAGCATAGAAGTGCTGTGCTGTTGTCTTTGTGGGAACAAGATTTAAATATTGATGCACTGCAGCCTTTGGAATTCGTCTGACATACTGTACTTGCTATTGTACAGTCATCACAGGAAAGAAATGTGACTTTCTTTTACTGTAGTACAATGATACAGCAAAATGGAACAGCTAAGAATAGAAATGCTCATAGGAAGAGAATAACAGTTGTGACAAAGGGTTCTGTTTCCTTGTCTCAAGGAAACAGCTTTATTGTGCATTTCAGAGAAAGGGATGAGTAACTTCTTTGTGTGTTTCAACATAGCCCTGATACAGGTGTAGGAGATGGTCTGTTCATCTTCTCCCTTAGCTTCATGCAGAACAAATGCATTAACTTCTTGATATTCCCCAGAAACTTTCCAGCTTAAAACTCTGTTTTGAGCTTGCCTTCTATAAGCTACATGAGTAAATCCTAACCACAAAGCCTCTCTAAACAAAAATTAGGAATGCATTTTTGTGAGACAAAACGTTATATTTTTCCTCAAAGCCTCTAGCAGATAAGTGTAAATATTTTACCCACATAGGAAATACACGTGAACATGGAAAAATAAATGTAATTTTTAAAAATATCTAACAAACTATTCATGTATGACCAGGACATGATCTTCATTGTCCGTAAGTGTATTTCTTCACAAGAAACTCCAGAGCATTAGGACTCTCAGATCTCTGTGCAAAGTAACTTGTTCCTATGTTTACTGGAAGCAAAGTCCCCCTATCCCTGGTGGGCCATGGAGATACAGAAAGAAATTTTATCTAGTCCTTCCCATTTTCATCATCTCAGACAGAAACTTCTGCTCTCTTACAGGCACCAGGATAGCCCAAAGTTAGGGAGCCAGGGCAGCAAAAAATCAGATGCTTGTTGCTTCTCCTGCACCCTGTTAGGCTGCCGACTGGGAGAAGCCCTGTTCCCAGCTCTGCAGGAGCAGCTGAAAACTGGGCTTGATCCAAACTGGGCACCTCTCCATGCTGCTTTACAGCAGCCTGGCTGGTACTTGCAGAAGGAAGGTGTTTGGCATCTCCTGCACCTTGGAGGGCACGCAGAGCACCCTCCTGAGCCATGCAGGCAGTCCCTGCGGCGCTGCGGTAGGGCCAGTTATCTCATCCATCTTGTCAGTCCCCTGCTCTCGTGGCTGCAGGTCACGGGGCAGGACAAGGGGCCTTTCCTAAATGGGCTCTGTCTCACCTGAACCGTTCTCGCCAGGGAGCTGCGTGGGCAGCCTGAGCCCGGACTGAGCCCATCAGTGTTAGTCCTGTGAAGTGAATTGTGTTTTCTCAGGGTACAGCTAAGAGCGGAGTTCTTGTATGCTTTACACTAGCATATGATTGTTCCTAAAGGTCATATTTATTTCCCAGTATCCTACACGTGCCTGCAGTTAGAATAAGCCCCGAGCATCCTCATATGTAAAACGCTTTTGCAGGCTTGGCGCTCCCTGCCTAAAGGAAGGGGAAAAGTGAGGAGGAGGAGGAGTGTGGTTAAGGAATAGTATGTTGTAAACATAAAATTATTTTATTCTGCTGTTTATTGACTGTTGTTACTAGCAGTAACAGCATTGTTATCAGGAAACAGGTTTGTAACAGTTGTCTATCTTCCTTAGGTAACTAATCATGCAGTGTTGCATCTGCATTGGGTATATTAGTACCGCTGGACTTTGGATCTTCCTTTGTTAATCTTATCAGGATGGTTCATTACAGCCAAGCGTACGTTAGATGGTAAAGTTACTCTGTACCAGTATGTGGGATACTCACAGCGGTGTTCGGAGAGGTGAATGCTCTACTGGCCTCTCACCTATATAGGCCACAGTGGTCTCAGAAAATGTGGTTTCAGTCTTTTACAGATGCTTTGGAGACACTTAAGAACTGTACTTAAAACGGAAGGGCGTTAGCCCACTATTACTGGTCTTCACTAATGTGACTACTTATGTTGCTTCCTTCTTCCCTCTGTGACTGCAGAGTGGCATCTATAGCGGAGTCACAAGTCCATGTACCAGGTCTAGCTTTTTAGGTTTGGGACAGTAAGCTTAAAATTCTTACAAGTACACATTAAAAAAAAACAGCACTGATCCAAGGGTACATTTTGTCCATTTTAAGCCTTTGACGGCGACGTGAAGAAATCTGGTATTTGGCAAGAAAAGGGGGAGCATTGGGTTTTTTTGCAGCAGATGGATTGCCTTTTAAAGATGGTTGTTTCAAGTGACTGGAAAGTACAGTACATTGGCATGGGTTTCAGAGAAGGTGGCTTATGGGAAGAGAGCAAGGTGGTAAAAAGAACATAATTTCTATTACAGCACTGCAATTTATCACGCTAAGAGTATAGTAAGGAAAGATAAGTAAGATGGGGCCAGAGCCTTTGGCTCTGTCTGTTATTAAGCTACACAGCTGGAGGAGGAGCTGGCTGGTGTCTCTGGTGGCAGAGAACCCTCTGAGCTGACTCGCTTGGCTCTTCTCCAGTGTTTGCTGGGGAAAGAACGCACGCCAGCATGCTTTGTTTGGAGAAAATGTAATCCAGAATAGCACATAGCTTTGGATACCAGGCTTGAATGTCAGCTTTCATATAGCACTTCCAAATGTAATCACCTTTTAGTTGTATTGTTGACTATTAGATCAACAGGTCAGCAAACAAGAGTTCTCTGGTGTTTTATACAGGTGCATGTAGGCGGGTTTGTGGGATAGATTAATTAAAAAATAGTGCATGGAATTGCATTTGTCCGCAGCATGTGCTAGAACTCAGGAATTATCACATTTGCAAGTTTATCTAGGACAGTGTCTAATTTAATATCTAATAATATTTGGCAAAGTCAGATGTGACAGGTAAAAATGCAAGGCCACTAACACAGGAAAATATATCAATACATCTTAACGTAGATTTGAGGGCCATTAAAGCTATTCTTCAGCCTGTATTCATTCATCTGAGTAGTTTATGCAAACTGAAATGCAAATAGGGCAGCTGACTCCTCACAGACATGCAGGAAAAGGAAATTGGCTGAAAACTACGGTGTTTTGGGTTTTTTTAAGTGTGTTTGAAAAATGTCATTTAGACCTTTCAATAGAGAAAACATCATACAGCATTGCAGGTTTTAGCTAGAAATAAATTGGTAGTCTAGCTAGTGAGCTACCCTAAAGAGGTTATGGCTCAATATTTAGCTTAACTTGTAGTTACTCTGGCAGTTCGTCAGCAAATTTTATATAATTAAAGGGAAATTAATTCAGTCTCCCGATAAGAGCAAAAATTCTACAGAGAAGGAGGGGAAGAAAATGTTCTTACCTAAAGGCATCACCTAGGAATTACTTGGCAAAATACAGAGTTCAAGAAGAGTCTCAAACTCACAGAGGTCATGGAGCCATCGTGCACTGCCACAGGCAGGTTTATTTATCTCTGCATGAAGTCCACAGTGACTTTATGCAAGCTAAGCATAAAGTAAGCTTACATGTGATGATTTGTTAGTCTTAGCTGGTTTTACAGTTCTGTTGTTTGTGAAGCATACTGTTTGAATCGGCTGTAATCAGTACTTGAACATTGGTATCAGCATGATTGTTAAACTGGTAAATAGATGTTACTATAAGCGATCAGTCTTCCAGAATTTTTCTCTCCGTCTGGTTTTAACATTCTCTTAGCAATATAGCTAAACTCGAACGGTAACACACCACACACATCACCCTCCCGAAGAGTCAGAAATGCTCAAAGACGCATGACTTCATTTACTGCTCTGGTTAACAAGATTGGACAGTTTATGAGCCTATTCCTAACTAACAAATAGGTTTCCTGTTGCTAGTCAACGCAATTCCCAATGTGTTGCCATCGCTAGGCTGGCCATCACACAGAAGTGGCCTGGTATGCATCAGCTGGTTCTTGTCTGTTGGTCTGCTCTCTTTTACAAAGGTCGCATAGCATTAAGGGGTTGTCATCGGGGCAGTTAGGAGGAGTGAAACTCGGTGAAGTCATCAGCAAGTGATCAGTTAGTTGCTAACTTGATCAGTTAATAAAGTGTGTTTATTTCTCTTCAGGAAAGAAGAAAAGAATTTGAGAGCAATCTGCAAAAGGCTGGTTTGGAACTAGAAACGGAAGATAAGAAGGTAAAAAAAAAAAAAAGAGAAAAATTAGGACCAAAGAAATAGACCTGCAAATTACTAATTAATGTATACCAGTTTGTTTCTTTGAGACAAATTACAAATTTTTCTAGCAGATTCCATTGGAGTACGACTAATTTAAGTGAAACGAGCTTAATGTGTCTGTTTGAGTTATTTTTCCAGATATGTTCATAAGAATTGTGGAAAGTAACTTTTAATTCAGGAGGAAGTGATGGCTTTTGATTTCATAACAAAAAGAAAGCAGTTCCAAAATAGCTGTGACTTCATTTAAACACATATAAATGGGAAGTATGCTCACAGCTAGATTTAATTCCACCTAATAACTAGTAACATGTTTGGAAGTCAATGAATAGATTAGCGTATGCCCACTGGATGTTGTAATTACGATGAGGAAGGACTCTGGTGTAACAACTTGAAGATGTTTGATTAGTGTTACTGTTTTGTTTAATAACTGAAGAACACGGGATGCTGACTTCTTCAGTCAGCGTGCTCTTTTTTTCTGCCAGAGATTGAGTGGGGCAGAATAACTCTTGATGAAGTTTAGGCTCTGTAACATCCATAGATGGGGATTCATTGAGCAACATGTTAAAAATACCTTCTGACTGCCATTTTCTCCTGTCTATGCAGAGGAGCGCTAGAAGAGCATAATACTGCGGGGTGAAGCCTGGGATAAGATTATTCATTATCATAGCTGTGAGGCTGTAACAGATCTGAGCTCTGGTTGGTAACTCCTTTTTGCAAGGAGTCTTGCATGTTCTGCTCCGCTGTATGAAAACTGCCCCCTCCAGGAAAGAGAGCAGCTTTACAGTCTAGCACGGTGGTCTGCAGGACGCGTGGGCTGCCAAGTGGCCAGCCCGGCACAGCAAACCCTTGCGTTTCCAATGCACTCAGAGTGTAATGAGAGTTTTCAGGCCTCAGTGTACAAGGTTAATGTAGTTTGAAAAGCCTTTGTGAGCTTTTAGTAGTGCAAAGATTATCTTTATGAACAACCAACCACTCGGATAAGCTTTTCAGTTTAAAAAAAAAAAAAAATATAAAAATCTCCCTATTCCCCCCCCTTTTTTTTTAAAGCTTTCAAAAATATGTACAAGGCAATAAATTTTGTATAGCAACTATTGTCATAAATCTTGCAATAAAACACAGTTTAGTCTGATGTCTGATTTAACTTTTCTGGGGCAGGAATCTGAAGATGGCAAGATTTATTTTGTGAAGATCCATGCCCCATGGGAGGTTCTGATCACGTATGCAGAAGTGCTGAACATTAAAGTTCCCATCAAGGAAAATGACATTCCCTCAACGGTGGAGAACCCCCTGGACTGTCTGCTTGCACCGCTCAGGCTTCCCGAGAAGGTGATGCACCCTGAACCGGATTATTTCACGGCCCCATTCAGCAAGGAGAAGCAGGAGCTATACCTCATTAATGACGAGAGCACTTTCTTCTCACCATCCATGAGAAACAGAATAGTACGTATGTGAATTTGTCTACTTTTATTTACGTGTAGATTTACACCATCCTGTAGGAATATTCATGCAAGGAAGGAGTATATAAACTGTGATATCTGTGGGTAAATGTGAGGAAGCCTAGATGCCTGTGCATCTTTCTTACAAATCTGGAAGAGTATTTGTTGGAATGGATCTTCTAGATGTCTACAAAGCAAGCGTGCCCTCAACAGTCTCATACAGGGTAGAGCCTTCTGAAGAAACACTTTTTGCTTTTGCGTATTATTCTTGCAGATTACACACAGTGCACAACCATTAAAGGTTTCTGTGAAATGGCCTTAAAGCAGGAAAGGTCTGAAATCCCTGTGTTTGAATCTCAGGTTAATTTGGGTCGACGGTTGGACTCGATGATCTTAGAGGTGTTTTCCAACCTCAATGATTCTATGATTCTATGATTCTATGATTCTAAATGGCCTTAAAGCAGGAAAGGTCTGAAATCCCTGTGTTTGAATCTCAGGTTAATTATATTCTTACACGTTGCCCATATGGAACAGAAGAAGGGAAGAAAAAATTTGGGATTAAGAGGCTGCTAAATAATGGCACCTATTCAGCTGCATATCCTCTTCATGATGTAAGTATTTTAGCTTTCTGCTCCCTTGAGCATTTCCCAGTGTTCTTACTCTTTTACCTACCGTGACATTTGCTGTTTCCAGCAGAAATGAAAATGCACTCAAACCCTTCCATTTGTCCCAGTTATTGATTCTGTTTTATAATACGCAAGACGTATCTGCCAGCCCTACTATTTGGCTTTTATGTGCTGAAATGTTTCTTCCTATGCATGCATACAGGAGCTGAGTTTCTAGGGTATACTTACGTGTCAGTCACGTAATGTGTAAGAGACTTATTCCATAGTATATTCCTGTAACGTTTATGGTACAGATTATGTGGTAGTACATTAGAAAGATTATAACAAGGAATGAATACCTCCTGCAGAAGCATACATTCAGCAGTGTGTGTGTGTGTGTATAGGGTGTGTACGTACATATACTGTAGTTACGTAAACACTCTTGGGATCATACCATGTTGGGACTGAAGTCAGATGAGTTGCATGAGCCCTGCAGTTCAGTGTGGGGTGGTCGCTTGTCCGTCTCCTAGTGAGCTTTGGTGAGCAACTGCAAATACTGGAAGTATGGTCAGGATGGTAAATACCGGTGTTTATTTTTGCTGTAGGGTCAATTTTTAATACAACATTTGCGGATTTAGCCCTGAAATCCCTTAGAGAAAAGGAAAGAGATGGGTTACTGTATTTTACTGATTTGTTTCTTTTCTGTTTTTTTAGTTTCTTTATTTTCCCTTCTGAATGTTGTGTTTAATTCGTTGCTTAAATCTTAAATTTGCTCCTTGTTTTGAATAATTATTTGAGATTTGTCACAATGCCTTAGTGAACTTAAATTGCTTATTTATATCTGTGAATTCTACCACAAGATATTTTTAAATACTTTATACAGATTTATATTTTTAAGTGTTTTTAAATATTTTTCTCTCCCTTAGAAAATGAAAAGAAATGGATGAATGGACATTCTTTAGGATTTCAGGGGGAAAGTTTAGCTGATCAGAGTCTAGGCTGTAGAAGATTAGTCTAGGCTGGGAAGCAGACTGTTTGTACTGTTGGGACTACCAAAACCACAGATAATAAAAAGCAGTTGTACTAGAATCTCTTCTATACAAGTACAACCAACCTTAAATGCTAAGAAAGCCTATGAAAAAATTCCAAAATCATGAGACAGATTCACAAATCATTGTCTAAAAAATAACTATTTAACCTTTTAAAATATTTTAAAAATGCAAACTTTAGGTTGTTTAAACTTCTTGATTTCTATTTAGAAACCAATTTCCATGCTTTTCTTTGATTGAGAGACATTCAGGAAACAAAGGAAAACCAAGATCACAAACTGAATATTTGATATAGCCAAGTATTTCTAAAGGCAATGTTCTACAACACAAAATAAAATTACAAGAGCTGTCAGAAACTGCGGTTATTTTGTGCTGTTTAATTTCTAGGAAACTGATGAAGTTCCAAAATTTTCTTAGCGTTTGACAGGTGGATACATGATAGTGATGAACACCACTGAAGTTAATTAGTGTCAGAATTTCATTTTGCATATCCTTGCATTACAACTTCAGAAACCGCAGCACGGCGTACATTATAGTGCTGTGGCTGGAGGCAGGAAACAACTTTAATTTATATCCCCTAGTTTACATCTCTCGGTGAAATGCTTTTGGCTGTGCAAATTACAATGAGAGCCTGATTCAGAAGTACAGAGGACAGGATTTAAATTTGCATTATTTTTAATGAAGCGGGAGTAAAACGGTGGTTTTCTACTGTAGGGAAGCTTGAACTTCTGCAATTGCATGTGCTACACCAGTGTAAGGGAACAAACCGCTCGCTGCAGTAATCTGCCGGTGCAAATGAGTATGTTGTACTAGCCCGACACTGGTGTAAAGTAACATGATGTGGTTACAGTACAGGTTGACTTAATGTCTAAGATTGATAAATGCTTTCTGAAAATGTGTATTATCTTAAAACATATATAAAAAGGGTTCTACTTAAAGTGGTGAAGTAGAGTGATAAGTTTGAATTACAAATTAGTTTAATTGGCATAATCTTAAGAGGGATGCAACATCATCATTAATATTCATTTCTTTTAATGTAGTATTTGAGTCTGTCGATGAGGTGTTTTGCCTTTACTCTGATTTGCTCGCAGTGCCAGTACTGGAAAAAGGCAAATGATCCAAACTGTGACAATGAGAGATACACGCTGTACATGGAGTGGGCCCGTTTCTTGCGGTTCTACAAAGAACAGCCTTTGGACCTCATCAGGTAAAATACTGCCTGTATTTTATTATATTTACTTGGCTTTCACTGTAATACAAGCGTGTATTCATTTGTAGCTTGATCCTGCTGGGAAATTTTTACTACTTTTAAGATCCGATGAGAATTGGATACTTAATGGGGCACTAGGTCCTTGGAGGACGTGACACAGGTTTCTACTAGCAACTAGAAAAAGCTTTGTCTCAAATGAAGCCTCCTTCAATCTAGCCAGTGCTGCCGGGGTCAGGTATCTTACAGATAATTCAGCTGTAGAGGAACACGTACGAAGAATACCTTGCATTTTATAAGCAATATCTGCCACACTTTTTAAAGATTGATTTGAAATTTTGAAATTTCAAGAGAGATTTGAAAAAACACTGATAAAATTAGTTTCTGAAGCTTGACTCTTAATTCAGTGCTAAACGCAAATTTAAATGAACCTTACCCAAGATTTCTTTGTTTCAGTTCATATGATATAACAAAACCATTACTTTATTCACGGTTTACAGTTGCCCCGTTTGTTACACAACTAGTTGTATTTCTGGGAATTACCCACTCATTCTTACCATATGAATCAGAACTGTTGTGCCCAGTTTCATTTTGTATAACTCCTTGGAAAATCAAAAAAGTAAATCTTCATTTACATTATCCTGTGCTAAGGGGAAAGAGTGATTTTAAAGCTGGAGCTTCTGCTAGGAGGAAAAAAAGGGTCAAAAAAGGCCATATATTGTGTTCATTCAGCTTGTGTAACTCCTCACAGCTAGTTTCAAACCCCATTTTTCCAGTGTACATCAGTGTATTTACTCTTCTGTTAAATGAGAATTTTGCCAAGTGTTTCATTTTGACTCTGGCCAGTTTGCTCTATTGCAGTTTTAAACTTTGCTTTGTATTCCTATTAATTGCATTTTTTTGTATTCAGGAAGTACTATGGTGAGAAGATTGGAATCTATTTTGCCTGGCTAGGATTTTACACCGAGATGTTATTCCTTGCAGCAGTTGTTGGCTTAATTTGTTTTCTTTATGGCTTGTTTACAATGGATGAAAATATGAGCAGGTGAGTGTAACGTTGAGAATCTCCTGGGCTTATAATGGGAAAAGCTAAGCAACGTGAAAATTTTGTTCTTGCAAAAAAACAGGTAACAAGGTTTTAAATCTTGTCAGAGCAAATTTGTTCTTCATCTGTCTTTATTGACTGAAGTGGTGGTGGACAGCTATGCAGAACTTGTGACTATTAATTAGTAAGACTCAATTTATAGGTGAAAAGCAATATTTTATTGCCTTTTGGCAATAGCTTTTAATATTGGATTACCTGCAATGCATAAAGTCCTAAGAGTACCACTGACATCTCTCAAAATTGTTTTGAGTGTTTATTGTTGCCTTAAGCTTTTCTATTTTAATCTCTCTTGCAGAGTAGTCCGTTGACCTTTTTGTGTAGGTCGTCATTTGTACTAACTACCAAAAGCACGAGTACAGGACAGATCAGCAGTGTTCTCCCGTCAAAGACGGATCCAGTATCTTGGAAATCAGAGTTTGCTTCTTCTTAAATAAGCTATCTTCACGCATCATTTTTTCCCCCTATTAGCTCTAAAAATAAGGAAGATGCAGTTGTTTTGTACATTGACTGTTTTTTTTGGTTTGTTTTTTTTTTCAAGAAGGCTTCCAGAAAATTTTGAGTTTTAACCATAAAAGATGAATAACAAGTTAAAATTCTCACCCATTCCATTGAATTACGTCATTTTGAGACTTACATTTTAGCTAGGTTCAGAATTCACCTGGGAATACTGCTATACATGTTCAGATTTCTCTGGATACTGAAGGACCACCATAGGATTGTAAACTTCTCCCACTGTAGTAGTTAAATTGAAGTAGCAAATTTCACTGTAGATAGCAAAGCTGAATTAATACCTCTGCTTTTAGAAAAGGTGTTTTGAACGCATTACTAACCTGATGAGAAATAACATGGTTTCTGTCTCACCTGAAAGCAGTGCATGTGCAGTACAGCTCCTTACAGGCTTCCGATTCACTACCGATAGAATTGGAAAGCCCATACCAAGTGAATTGCTAGTTCTGCTCCTTGTAGCAGCTGCTACATTTCTTGGCTTGCCCTGACCAGCTACAGGTTAACACCAGTGAATGTAACAAGACTTGGCATCTTCTCTGTGAAGCTGCAGATGTTGAGCTTTGAACAAATGAAGCTGTTAATTTTTTTGTTTTTTAAATAAATTTCATATAGCAGCTCTTAAGATGCTATGAAAACAGATACTGTACAATATTTTCTCCTCAGCAAAGAAATCTGTGACCCTGCAATTGGAGGAGATATCATCATGTGCCCTCTTTGTGACCGAGAGTGTGAGTACTGGAGACTGAACACCACCTGTGAGTCCTCAGAGGTCTGTATCTGGTTCTCCAGCCACTTGTCTTTTTTGTTCATACTGAAAACTGTTTTGGTACCGACCTGTTCCTGCGTATTCTGTTGCAGTATTCCCATTTGTTTGACAACGTGGCAACTCTCTTTTTTGCCATTTTCATGGGCATATGGGGTGAGTACATTTGATAAGTTTTATGTCAAGCAGTAAGGAGATCTTGGCCAAACTGCTGAGGGAGCCTGGAAGTGGGAAGAAGAGGAATAATGGCTTCGCTTTAATATCCTGCCTCAGATGCAGAAGTGATAAAAGAGTAAAAGTAATTTAAAGTTACAGAGGGATTGGACTTAAACAAAACCAAACAAAATACAGCAGATATCTAGGATATCATAAGCATTGTGTACTCTAACTGCTAACATTTGTTTCTTTCCTTAGTAACCTAAAACAGAGTGGTCCAGCCTTACGCAGTCCTTGTAAGAGTCCTCTCTGCTGAGGCCTGCACATGATCAGTGTCCCTGTGAGGGAGTAGAGAGCTTTTGTGTCCTTTCACTGGATGGTGGTCCAGCACTACCACTTCATTAGCAGCACTTTTAGGATGAGAATCAGTTGGCTTCTATGCCAATGAAGTTCATACATTATCGTATGTTTTGATGATGCAGAAATAGGTGGATTTCCTGACTCCCTCTATATGCATGGTTTCACACCAAGTGATACTTGTTCAGACTTTAAGATTGTATTGTCTTGAATACATGTTCTTTTCTTAAACTGTGTGAAGGTTTATAGATGCAGGATAATGTAGTTATTGTTTCTTATTTCCTTAAATACCTTGTCTCCTGTTTCATACTGTTTGTATGAAATATCATCATTAAATCTTCAATTTGAATATAGGTATTTCATTAACACACAAAGATCTCTGTGTGCTAATAGAAAACCTATTTGTGTATTTGTTATCAAAGGACCTAGCCACTAACTTTTTTGTAGAAAATTCTCAAAAAACCAAAAAATCGAATAAGATGTTGTATGGCTGTTTTCCTAAACTTTTCTTGGTTTTAAGCACTAGCCTTTGAGTGACACGGATTAGTCATTCGGGAAGTACCAGAAAATGTTTTTAGAACTGCAGAAGATAAGCTTTCCTGTGTTTGTGTAAACCGTAAAACCTCTCCACTTCAAATAAGAACAATCAGATTACCGAAGGGTTACATTTTACAGTAGTTTATAGAGGGCTTTTTAAATGTTATATAATAGTATAACTTTTATAGTTGTTTATTTTATATATGAAATCAGTTCTCTCTAGTGTCTTAAAAATTTCTTAAGCCAGCCTCACTCTTGATCGTATGAAAAGCATCAGACGTTCACCGTCTTTAAAATGACCATGATATCAAATAATCATCAGAAAGCAACAGAAATCTTTGAACATACTACTTGAAAACAGTTCTGCTTATTTGTAATAGTTGTTCATGTGTTACAGGTTTATACACAAGCAATTAGTTGAATCATCGTGTTCCTTTGTCAGTTCCGTGTTGCTATTTGCGTATGAAAAGTAGTTAAACTGTAATTGAACATGGTCGTCATAACCATGGAAATACCCATATTCTGTCTTGGCATCTTCCTTGTCATCCACTTCTGGAATTCAGTTAGCTAAGAAATTACTTAATCCATATTGTCATCTTAGCTGTGAACTTTAATAGGTAGTCAATAAAAATAGATGGGTCACACTGTGAGGATAAATGCTAGATCGCAGAATAGAAGCCAGTGCAGAAATAAGTTTAACTTAGTTCATGAACTTGTTCACTTCTCCCTTAACTGTATTTTAACATTTCCAAATTGCAGTTACACTTTTCTTGGAGTTTTGGAAGAGACGGCAAGCTAGACTGAAATATGAGTGGGATTTGGTTGATTTTGAAGAGGAACAGCAACAACTCCAGCTGAGGCCTGAGTACGAGGCAAAATGTACCCAAAAGAAGAAGAATCCTGTAACTCAGGTAATGAGCCTGCTGGGTTGACATGCATGCAAATTCAGTTGTGTGCTGAAAGATAGTTTGATATCAAAGCAGGATTTAGTAACACATTGTTTTCTCACTGAAGGCGTCCAGTTGATGAGTGCTGAGGTTTGCGCTCTGATTGACTAGTATCAGAGACAAACACTTCAACTGTCGAAAGCAGCGTAGCTGTGTTAGCATCAGTAAGTTCTGGAGCTGATAGCCCTGCCTTTCAAGGGTCTGTTTACCCTGGCGCAGGGCCACTGCGGCGTGGCTGTCCTGCTTTCCAGTCTGAAGGTAACAGTAACTGAGGGCGCTCAGCACTTCAGCCTCCTCTTGCACGTGACAGGCATGCCCCATCTCTTGGACCATGGCTCTCTGCCTGCAGATGTCTTTTGTTACCTAGGCTTTTGACACAGAATAAATGAGAACATGGCGGGTTTTTGCCTCTGGAGTGTGCATAACTTTCATTAAGTATCCTCTATTGATTTTAATTTTCACAGGAAAGTGATATATTAAATCAGGAACACAAAGGCAAAGTTTATAGCTTTCACTTGGCTAACACCATCTTTACAGTGTCCTTCACGTTTCAAGGTAGCATTCTCCGAAATCTTCGTGCCTTTAAAAGCACTCTTTCTCATCCCTGCACAACATACGAAGGAGCAGTTGTCTTGATCTAAATATACAAAAGTGGGACTAGCTGTGGTTTTGTTACTGATATACAGCCACTTTGGGGAATGCTAGAGAGATGAAGGCTGCTGAAGCCCTTTGTCTAAAATCTAATTGAGATACAATTAACCACACTACTTAACTCTGTTAAATGCTCTATGTAAATACCTACTAGATGTTAATTGTCTTCATTTAAATTTAATTTAGGTAGGAGTTAGTTGACAAATTTAGGGATCAGATGGTTGCATTCCAATACAACATCTACCATCTTAATTTGATGTATTTTTAAATCATCCTTCCTCTTCCTAGAATTGCATATAAATAACTTGTTTTCACTAGTCATAGGTAGACTTAGATAACACAGTCTTCAGAAAAGAAATAGAAGCTTAGCCAGAACATGGGAAGCAGCACTGTTACATAAACAGTAGCCCTGTCTTTCAGGGTTTCTCTCCTTAATTATTAGGAAATATATACACTAATCTTGTTTCTCATGAGAGGCAGTTTTTCTGTCTCTCTTTCCTCTTCTGCACATGCAGCAGTAATGCTGTTGTTTCTTGTACGCTGTAGTCATGCAGAGATCTTTGATGACCATGCACTGTGATTTTGAGTGTAGTTCTGCCGAGGTACTGATTTCTGCATGCTCAGGAAAACAGTCAGGTAAATCATTTTTTGATTAGCTAGTTCACCTAACTGAAAACAGATCCTTGCCTGTTGCGTATTATTTGCTAGTTTGCATCCCTTTGTATGCTCAGGCTCAAAACCTCCACTTCCTTTCATGGCTGCACAGTGACCAAAACCAGCTGAACCATCTGTGGTTCTGCTGCAGTTGAAGGAAAGAGCTGGGGGAAATTGCACAGGCGGTTCATGGCCCTTGTGTGCTCTGAAATAATGGGCTGCAGCAGAGGGTAATTGTGTGAGGACAGGGAAGTAATGGGCTGACCCGTAGGCAGTGGTTACGTACAGCATGGACCAAAACCCATAGTCTGGGGAGGTGAATCAGCTGCAGCAGCAGCCAAAGATGGCATGGGTGAGGTGCATTTGTATAGCTGTCCTGAGAGAGAAGATTGTTCTCTCTAAATTCATGCAGATCTCTTGGGTAGGATGATTTATTTGGACTTTATTTTGGAAACAGAAGTTGGACCGTGGTATGTTTTTCTTATCTCAGAGTGAGATACTGCACTTTTTTGTGCTTTCTAAGTATGCATTAACAATTACCATAAAAATTCAATGACTGTACAATCCTTTTATTTTATGACACATCAATTTATTACCTTGGTGGATTTTCAGAAGCTTTTGTGAGGCAGGGTTTAGCAGTGATCCTTATCAATACCCAGTTATAGTAAACCATACGGTTTGGCCACACTGTAGTGTAATTTCCTTTCATTAGGTAATGTGCAGTACTGAACATGGGAAAGGACGGTGATTTCAAGTAACTTAATTCTGCATACTGATAAGATAACATGGATACGGGTCACTGAGTTTCTTGTGTCCCAAGGCTGGCTTTGCTTTGCTCAGAAAATTGTTTCCTGGCCTCGATTCCAAGTTCTAGGTGCACTGAAACAGAAATTGCCCATCTTGAGGCTTTAATTAACACCTCATGTGGTCACAATGCTGAACTATTTAGCTAGATCATAGCTAACATCTGGTTTTGCTGATTACAGTAGAATCTTAATTTACATAAATAATGAAGCATTCCATTCAAATTTGGGCTCTGTCATTGCACATTATTGCCTACATTTTGTTCTAAAGTAGAAAACTTGTTGAATAGTCTAGAATGTGCGAAACGTCTGTTCTTAGTATAGAATATATGTATTATTAATACGTAATAGGTATAAAATGTTATGAGCCTATGTAAAGCCACCTGATATCTGTGCTTGTATCTTATCTTCAGCTGTTTTTTATAGTTCTGTTAATAGAGCCTTTAACTGATTTCATCATCAAACAACTTGTTGTGACTCGAGAGTACAGTATTGATAATTGTGTTTAGTAAGTATATTTAGGCAGATACAGGCAGTATATCTCGCCTGAGAGAACAGCACGTTGCACTTTAAACAAAATCACATCGGTATGAGCATGCCGATTGACTGAAGAATATCGCCATCGAGAAGCCGCGCTTGTAAAACACCTGCCACTGCTTGGTGGTGTCGGGGAGAAATGTGCAGCTCAGTTATGGCCGTTGTATTCAGCGTAATTACACTGCGTTACACCAGTGCATTCGGCACGTTCTGGGCTTTTGTGCAACAGGAAATAAACTCTCTTCAGCACCACTTTACAGGTTCAGTATCTTCTGTTGTCAAAACAAGCATTTCCTGGTTCAATATACTTACTAATAATATACTATAATATATATTATAATTATAATATATATTATATATACTATATAATATAATATATTGCTTTCACCTGTAGTAATCGGTGCCCCTGTGTCCAAGAGGAGCGTAAGCATACTACAATGCCTTGTCCCAAAGATTTATCAAATTCAGATTATTTTTTTACTAAATATTCTTCCACTGGCATTAGTTCTTAAATGATCCTTTCTTAATACGTGTAATCTGATATTTTAGGAATTAGAGTTGGTTGCAAAAAAGAGACCTTTACACGAACATGGAAAGTTGTTCATGTGCTATATGGGGATACTCGCTTGGGTAAGACCTAGCTGCCTGATGCTGCAGCAGAGACTGGCAACTAATGAATGTAGCCATTTCTTCAATTAAAAAAAAAGAATTGAAGGAGTGGAGAAAAACGCTCTCTGGCTGTGTGGAAAAACACGGTACATCCAAATAAATGACCATTTTAAGAAATCTCGACATGCAGAATTTCTTAAAGTTCAGTCCAGTTTTGGACGCAGAGCTGTATGACAGCTGACGTAGCATTACAGTAATAGTTCTGTCCTGTTCATCTAACGAAGGAGGTGGTCTTTTTCTTTCAGCTACTGATTGATTTTTGCTAAGGTTTAACCATTCTTTCCCAGTACTGTCTTTACTTCTAGCATTGTTATGGCCACTTCTGTCCTGATCTTTTTTCTCCCCCCAGCACATTCAAAATCATGTCCTATCTGCTCTTTTAGAGAGGGGAGTTCTGAATGGTTTTCCTCAGATGTGGGCACTTTCACACAGCTGATGAGAGCTCTGTGTGCCGCTTGATGTTAGAATAAGATTATGGATTTGTGAACTGTGCTGTGCTTGCTTGACTGTTTCAGGAGATGGAGCCTTATTTGCCTATAACTAGCCAGGCTGTGCGGTTCTGCATCTCAGGAACTACAGTGTTGTTCTGGGTGAGCATCTTTTTGAATCATCATTTTAACATACGTCAGAGTTGCTGATCATCACTAATCATGACATTAACACAAACTGGTTTTAATCCTATGATATTAACACATGCTTTTATTATCGTCCTGCAGATTTCCTGCTGTCATGCAAAATGCGCTTCAATTCAGATTAAAAAAAAAAAAAAAAAGACCTTGGAAATCTGTCATTAATTAGTAATTTGATTGGACATTTTAGCATAGGGATAACTTTTTCTCTGGCTTATGTGCTGTTAACAGACCATACTGAAAAAAATTGTAGTAAAGGCAAAAAAAAAAAGTATTACTCACTACAATGAAATATCTACACATTCCTCTGTAGAAATATCTGCAGAGTGAATTTCAGGGTGGACAATATAATCTGACTTGTCCCTTCCATCTCCATTTCTATGAGTCTGTATCCTTCTCCACTATTTTTTTTTTTTTTTTAATTTTGGTATTAGATTGTCTGCTTTTCTTGTGTTAACAAAATAATTGTTAGGTTTAATGTATCTAATATAACAAAGCATTTTGCCTGTGTGCTTTGCATTTCAGTGCTGCTGATCTCATACCCATAAAGAACAAAATTTAAACACTATAAAGCATGATGATTTACATCTTATTTCAAAAGTTGCATGCATCTAGCTATACCGAGCTGTAAGTGTATTTCACATTTCTGTCCTTTCCTTAGGTGTCTCTGATTATAGCTAGCATGATAGCTGTGATTGTGTATCGTCTTGCCGTGTATGCTGCCTTTGCCAGCCTGATGGAGAACACTCAAAGTTTACAGCCCATCAGTGGATTACTGACCCCTCAGCTGGCAACTTCAGTCACAGCCTCATGCCTGAATTTTGTCATCATCATGATACTGAATTTCTTATATGAGAGAATAGCCATCTGGATTACTGATATGGGTAAGCGGTGTACTTGAAGACAAAACTTTCAAGGAATTACTAAAGGTAGAACCCATCTAGAGGTGCTCTATGTAGTTGTTCTCAGCTTGGGCGCAGTGGGAGCACTAGGACATTAGTCTGTAGCTTGCAGCAATGACTCAGTTGTATCCATGGCCATACTGAACATTTTCCCTGCATTTGAATAATTATCATAAGCTGGTTTCTCTTAGTATAATGTTTGCTTATATGAAAACTAGTATACAGAGACAAACAGAGTTCTGAACGTAATTAAAAATTATCATGTGTTATATTAGAGCCACCAAAGCAAGATCAAACTGTCTTGGTTTAGCAGTATTTCAATTAGAAATCCTGAAGATACATTTTTAAAAAATAGATCACAGCTTTCTCAGCCATCTTTACAAAAAAAGGCTAAATAATCATGTCTCTTACTTTGGGGGGAAAAGGTAGGAGGCTGGGGGATGGGATAGGGCCGTATATTTTCCAGGGTTTTCTCTTGGCACCATTTCCCTTAGCTATGGATTTACAGGTTTGGAGTTAATACAGACTGAAGGCAAAGATTGAGCAGGTTGAGAAGTTGAGCCCAAGATGTTATTGTGGCTGTAGCCATTGGTAGCGTTACCTGCGGTAGGCTCACTGCAGAGCTGGAGGAGCCTGCAGGCAGGTAGGCCCAGAAAGATCTGTTGACTTTGTAGCAGATTTTATGTTTGACTGTTGCTTGGTTGCTGGAAATATCCTTCCCTAGAGCCCTTCTTACGTATTTTCCTTTGTTTGCCCTTGATGATATAGATGTACAAGTCCCTGCAGGTGCTTTATAGAAAGAAATAATTGCAGAATATTCAGCTGAGGGGGAGAGCTGAAAGTATTATGTATTTGTAGTTTGTACAGCTGTCATAAAAACAGTTGGGTGATCTTTTTTTATGGAGTCTTACAAGCGGAATCAAGAATTGGAAGGTGTTTCTGGCAGAAACTTAATGGGATGTTGCATTGGCTCTATTTTGCTTTATCTTGAAGCATCTCTTGTCTCGGAGATCTGTATTATTTCTCTCACTGGGCCAAATTAGACCAAAGACAGAACAAGTAATAAGTAAAAGTGCCCCTAGCAAAAAAAATAACCAACAACCAACCAAACCAACCAGAAAATCATCATTTTTTAATCTTTCTTTCTCGAAGGGCATGAATTATATAAGCATCAAGGCTCAGCAATGTTGTTTTGCTGCTTGCAAGCATGGAGGATTAATTTCTTAAGTGTCAGCACTACCTGCGGTTATCGGTTACAGAGGGAAAAATAAATGTTTACTTTTATGGGACTGCTGCCCTCCTCTGGCGGCCGTGGCAGCTGCGCTTGGCCCAGGCGCTTGACCCAGGTTTAGAGACACGGTTGGGTCCAGGGTATGAAATGTGGGCTGCAGCCGTCAGGAGCGTCTGTTCTAACTCCCTTTACTCTTGAATTCCTTAAAAAGGTTAGGCCAGATTTTGTTTTCAGATGTGCAGGTATAACCTATCTCTGGTGCTCTAGACATTGAGTGTCTGACATAAACTTTTGAACAGCTCACTGCCAATAAAAATATTTTAATGAGCTGCATCCTAGGCAGACTACCTCACCCGAGTACTGCCTCCTCTATAGCGGGTTCCCAGTAAATACCTTCTGTCATGCAAACTTATGCCAAGCTTGGAAGCGTTAGGTTACTCGGCTATGAAATAACTTTGCCATAGGGCAGGTGAGTTCAACACATCTGCCAGGTCCTGACCAATTCAGAGGGTCTTGAATGCCTGTGGTGTATTTTCTTCCCCTTTCTCCCAACTTGAATTGGTTATATGTTATCATTTAACAGCACACTTTACCAATAATGTGCTTAGGGCTTCCTGCTACCTTTAAAAATGCAAACATGATGGAGAATGTGATTACAAAGGCAGCAAAATCTTAAGCAAAGGCTTGGTGATGTTCAGTACCACCGAGATGCCTGTATCCGTCCCTGTTCTTCCCCCTACTATGAGCCTCATCTTTCAGAGGCACAGGGTCCATCCAGTTTCTGCTGATTTCAATATAAAATACACACATACAGCATATTGAAAAAATCAGTACTGTAACATACTTCTCTACCACAAAGAAAAAAAAATTCTTTATCATGTGCATTGCTAACAGTGGAATTTTCATCGTCTAGGAGACCCTGCTAGTTAATGTGTGAGATTCATCCTGGATCTCCTAAAAACAGTGTAAGATTTGGGCATGGGCAAGTGCTGGTGGACAGTACAAAGAAGGGGAAGTTGAAGGTTATAAACGTTTCAAGAATGAATTTCACTTCCCTGCCTACTCAGAACATTGCATTGCAAATTAAGGATCGGGTGTCTGAGAGCCGGAGCTCTATCTGCTGAACTGTTTGTAGGTGGTTCCCCCCCACCCCTTTGGGATGTAAGGGCAGTGTGGGTGATGAGTATTTATGAATCTGTATCCTTTTAAAGGGAATAAAGGAAAATAAAACTACTCTTTTCTGGTTTCAGAGATTCCCAGAACTCATATGGAGTATGAGAACAGGCTCACTATGAAAATGTTTCTGTTCCAGTTTGTCAACTATTATTCATCCTGCTTCTATGTGGCCTTCTTCAAAGGGAAGTTTGTTGGTTACCCAGGTGCCTACACGTACATGTTTAATCGCTGGCGAAACGAAGAGGTAGGACTTTCTTGATTAAGGTGGATTGAATAATAATAAACTACTTTAAACTCTTTATCCCCTCCAACCTCTGCAGTCATAAATTGCCAGCTGCAGGTTTGGTCTGGAATGAGCTGGACCTCAGCTGGCCATCCTGAGGCTGATGGAGGGGCTTCCAAGGACTCTTCCTGCTGTTGCTAGTCAGGGAAACACCCGCAGTGAAAATCTGTGGCTCTTGGTCCCAAGGGTGAAAAATCTAAAAGCTTTCCTTGGCCCCAGTTCTCCTGAAATACCAGTGGATCTCGCCATAGGTCTTAAAAGTGATACTCTAGGTTGAAGAAAGCGAGTATAAATGGAAATGGTCTCTGGCTTATGGGTGTCTTCGTAAGCTTTTTGAGGCACTACATTTTCAGAGAAACCATCTGGTAAGAGGCGCATCTGTAAGCTTCTGCTTTTTTCCCTCATTTCATTGCTCATTATGCTGTTTGTACAGAGATGAGACAATATTTAATGTGAAGCATTGCTTGGGAGTCAATAGCGGAGGAAAAACTTCATGCAAAACACAATGAAGTAATGCAGTGCACTTATTGATGGAGTATCTCCTAATACTGGTCTGGCTGCTAAATTCTTAAGAAGGCCTCAATGAAGAGTTGAAACTTCAAAACTAGTGTTCTCAGCAAACAGCAGAGACCAGATACTGGCAGGTATTTAAATACCTCTGGTGTAGGGATGTGAATAGAAAATGCAGGTACTTGGTAGGTCAGGGTTGGTCTGGTGTTGAGAGCTAGCCGAGCGCCATAGATTCACCTTGCTGGGGCTGTGGGGTGGCTGCTGCATGCGGATCCTGCTGCACTGCCTTTGTGTATCTGCACAGTGGTCAGCCTGAAGCATCTCTGAATTACTCTCTCTTTAAACGGTCGTTATGTTTTGGTGTGTGTTTTTTCAAGCACACTGAGCATTGAAAGCCCTTCTGTAACAGCCTTCCTGAGGGGGTATCTTAGCTGGCAGTCCAGGTGAAAGTTAAGTATTGTCCTAACAAGTTTTAAGAACTCTTCTTTCTTTCATTTATACAGTAGTAGAATATAGTTTATCTGGGTAATGTCCATTATTAATGTCCATTAACCCCCAGTTTGTCTCTGCCAGTGCGATCCTGCGGGCTGTTTGATAGAATTGACGACACAGCTCACCATTGTCATGGCTGGCAAACAGATCTGGGGAAATATCCAAGAGGCCGTTGTACCGTAAGTTCTCTCTTACACAGAGATGCCCATGTTATAGACAGAGGAAATTCTTGGAAGGAGTGATAACAAGTATTGCCATATGAAGAAGCTAAGAAAAATTCTGTAAATTAAGCACAATTTCTGACAAGTAAATTCATTTCATAGAGGCTTTTGGCCTCTTTTTATGAAAGCCGTGCTTGTAAAAGCACGTTGCAACAAGGAGTTTGCTTAGAGAAAGATACTTGATTTGCTTCTCTCATTGTTAACTTTTTTCTGCATATACAGCTGGATTTGTAACTGGTGGGGTCGCCGGAAAGCCAGAAATAATCCAGAAAATTTATACAGTCGCTGGGAGCAAGACCATGATCTGCAGATATTTGGAGCCTTAGGCCTGTTCTATGAATATCTAGAAATGGGTAAGTTTAAAAATACACATTTGGAATTGAGGACAAGACACCTTGTACTGACAGTTCCAAAAAAATAGCTTCTCAATTAATTGTTACGGGTTGATGCCACCGCTTTCATCTGGTAAACAGTAGATGATTAACTGCTGGAAATCATTAAATAGGTCGACCCAATTAAAAAAAAAAAAACAACCTGCCTTTGCATCTTAGAGTGCAGGGAATTTCACAGAAACGCTGCAAAGACTGTTTCCCTCATTTGAATGGGGAACATTATTCTCAGTGCAGCCAGCTGTCTTGATGTCTGTTCTGTTCTCGTTCCCAAGCATATTCTCAGCTGATGTCAGTGGAACTGTATGTATGGGATGAGTGCCAAATATGCTGTAAGGATGGGTACTGCAGATCTGGATCAGAGAGAATCCATTTAGTTTTAGGTTTGCACCGATCAGTGCTTCAATACAGTCCAGTAGACCAGCAGAGGGAGCATGGGTAACAGAATAGGATTTTGCCAAGGTAATGTGAACAGGTCAGCATATGAAATTACTTTACAAAACCTGAGAGACTAAAACTAGAAATTGAAGCCAAACTAAATGTAAAAGACACTAAAAAAATATTAGTATTTGTCTATTAGAAGGACAAAATTTGTTGAAAAGTGGTCCCTTGTATTGTTTTATTTGTACAGAAATAATTCTTGCCTAGAGCTTTGCAACTGTATTGTTGTCACTTCATACACTTCATGATATTTCATGCAGGGCTGTGATCTTGTGAAATTCATACGCTAAGAACCATCAGTGTTGTCAGCCGTGCCTGTTAATAGATGTCCTTGCTCTTCCTGAATTGGAACTGAACCAGAATGCTCCAGCATTGTCCTGGGGCTGCTAAGCCAGTAGGAATTTTGTTGCTTGTCTAAGATGAAGAACTGATTGCTGAAATAATGGAAAAGCTGATGACTGGTGTATGGAGATTTATTTTTATCCACTACCCAAACCAGACAAGATGTTCTATTTCCTGTCTTTAAAATATAGTGGCAGTATTGGCTCTGCACTGAGGACTGTCACATTCTGTACCAAGAGACATTTCATTTTGGTAATGACTAAAGGGATCGTTTGCGTATTTTATTTGCAATTCTTAAACTAATGTTAAGACTCCACAGTGGAACTATTATATACAGATTTGGTATTAATATTTTGACTAAACCAATAACAGTAGGTGGAGGTAAGGCTGTGATAAAAGTAAAAGTATTTCTTCTTTTTCATTTAGGAGAATGGGCTTCCTCTATATACAAACTGCAGGAGAGGAAAACTAGCCATTTTATTTTATTTTAAATGACTCCTCTTGTAATTCAGAAATTTGATGTATGAGTACATTCCCATTCCCCTACAGTTATATTCCATTCACGAGAGGAGAACTGCAGCATCACGAAAGAATTAGTATCCAGCACTGCTGGCAGCACCGTTTGGCAGGACCTGAATGCCCTGTTCCCTTGGGTGCTGCTGAATGGCAGCCGTAAGAGACTAGAGAAGTGTCTTGGGGCTGGGGCAGGTTGTCACTTAGTTCAGGCCAGGGCTGGAGGTGTCTTGTTCTGCAGCCTGGCAGAAGTTTGCCATTTGTCTGCGAGTGGCAACTTGCATGTTTCATTGTCACCCTGAGGATACTTTTGTAGGGGCAGATTTTGGCACTCGGGGCAGATTTTGGCACTTTTCTTTTCTCCCTTGCAGTCATTCAGTTTGGATTCATTACTCTCTTCGTGGCGTCCTTTCCCCTGGCTCCCCTTCTTGCTCTGATGAATAATATCCTGGAGATTCGAGTAGACTCCTGGAAATTAACCACTCAGTACAGGAGACCTGTGGCTGCAAAAGCACATAGCATAGGAGTTTGGCAAGAAATCCTTAACGGAATGGCCATCTTGTCTGTTGTCACCAATGTAAGTACGTTAACTGTGCTGCATCAGCTTTGATTCTTCCGTGTACTCAGAATTTGCAGATTTAAAAATCAGCTGATGCTTTTTCTCCTTCATCAACAGTATTCACTTTATCACATGCTACCCTACGGAGATAGGGTCAAACCATTTGGCTTCTCCGAACGTTGACGACGTGCAGCTCCCAATCCACATTTCATTGAACCATAATCTTTTATTCACTTGTCTGTCTTTTCCAGTGTTTTGGAATGGCGTAAGTCAGTCTGAAGCTTAGCCTGATGAAGCACACTGATTGTCCAGAGGGGACAGGAGAGGTGGATTAATTCTGTCGGCCGGATGACATTTCTGTCTTGTCATTATGAGGCCTATTCTGTGGGAATTCTGCTTGTTCAGCTGCTTTTGGATGCCCCTAAGGGGGCAATGGCTCAGAGTACTTGTTATAAACTGGAAACTAAATGCTATGCTAGTATTTCATCTTAAGTATAAAGTAAAGCAGACTGCTGAGCAAAAGAGTTGCCTCTTTTTAATGTAGAATAGTAAACAGTATCAGATCTGCAAGTATCTTAGGCAACAAACCCACTTGCAGGTATTGCCTAATTAGCAAGGTACCTGAGCATCCTAAGTATCTCACGTTTTCAGGCAAAATGTGCTGGTAGCCATTGTTTCCTTTTTAAATACAGCTGGAGAAAATGGCTCCCCTTCTTTCATAAAGTGATCACACACTGGGTTCGAGTTCATCCTTTCTCACAAGAATTCAAAACCACATCTCCTCTTTCACTAAGGAGTGCTGTTATCACAGATAGAAGACAGTTTGGTGTAAGGGTATATTTGGGATTTGGTGCCTCTTGTAATTGACTATTCACATATTTTGTTCACTGAGTGCTGGTCCTTGCAGCAGAGGCTGCAGTCAGCGTCTTTACCAAGGTAAAGTGCCCTAATCATGCTCACCCTTGCTTAAAAGATCCTGGATTATGCCACAGAGTCACGGTACCAAAACCCCTTTATGAATCTGCTCACAAGTTTTGTGTGCTAATTCCTTAACTTCTTTTTCCAACTTCTTTTTCAGGCTTTTATTGTTGCATTCACATCAGATATGATTCCTCGTTTAGTTTACTACTATGCTTATTCTGAAAATGAAGACTCGCCTATGTCTGGGTACATAAACAATAGTTTGTCAGTGTTTCAAATCTCAGATTTTCCTGACAGAAACAAGCCTAAACTGAATCCAGAAAACTTTGTCATATGCAGGTTGGTGTTGGTGTAGTAATGAATATTTTATCACTTTGTTTAGAATACAGCATAAAAAGTCAATGCAGATCTAAGTAGTCCACTAGAAATTAAATTATGTCATTCTCATCATTCTGAAGTGTGAGAGGTAATACTTAGGTTATTAACAAGGCAGTACTTGAGATGGTAAGAGATGGTAATGAAAAAAAATCACCTTTTTGTTGTTTTAAGAGAGTCTCATTGCTAATGTGGTTTTGTTTGGTTTTGGTTTGTTACTTAATTGAACTGTTGCTTTTTGAGTGATGGAGGAGATTTATGTCCCTAAGGTTGCAAACTTCAGCCTATATTTTCAAAGGTTTTTAGGCTGCAATGCCTGAGTGGACAAGAAAGTATCATTAAGGGGTTGTTTAGATTCCAAAGCTGAAAATGAGATATGGTATTTAAAGTCAATCGTTACTGAGCTGGATACCACCAAGGATCTGGGTCATCCTGCTTTCATTAAAAAAATAGTCCTTTCTCGCTAGAAGAAGCATTGGAGGTTCTAGAAGAATTGAGAAAGAACTTTGGAGAAGTCCATGGTAAAAGAAAAGTACTTGATTTGATGCAAAATAAATCCCAAAACAAACCAACCAGACAAAACCCCCCAACATTTTAAGAGCAGCTACATTTGTATGATATTTTAGCTTTAAAGCCCCAGGAGTCTTTATACCATTTATACACGTGAGTGTAGAACACGTACTCAAGACTGTCCTTCCATTAAACCCTGCATCTGTCCAGTACGTAACCGGTCAAAATCTGTCGCATTTGTTCAATACTTGTCCGTTACTGTGTGATACGTTCCATCACTCTGTCCTGTATTATTTGATCATTGTCCCCCCAAAAAGTAACCGATGTACAAAATTTTGCTTCTCACACATCCTCACCTCTGTTGCTGTGAAAATGAGGGTGTTTAAGCTAACATAAGGTAGAAACAAATTGAGAGGCAACCTTTTTCTGCAAAAGGAAACAGACCATTTAAAACAAGATGGAAAGGTTCCTTAAGTGACAGCTGTATTTGCCTGTAAGTGTCACTGAGCTTGTAGTCTGTCTCAGACTGAATATGACACTTCACCTTTGCATGTCTTTCTATCCAACAGGTACAGAGACTATCGATATCCTCCAGATCATGAGCGGAGATACTTACACACTATGCAGTTTTGGCACATTCTTGCTGCAAAACTGGCCTTTATAATTATTATGGAGGTATGTTCCCTACAAAGTTTCCTTCTGAAATTGGTACCTTACAGATTGTCTAGGTAGTTACTATTGTTACAGAAAATAGAATTGCTGAGAGTATGAAATAGTTTCTTCCCTAAGTAATACCAAATAGTCATAGAATCATTTAGGTTGGAAAAGACCTCTAAGATCATCGAGTCCAACTGTTAACCTAGCACTGCCAAATCCACCACTAAACCATGTCCCTAAGCACCACATCTACGTATCTTTTAAATACTTCCAGGGATGGGGACTCAACCACTTCCCTGGGCAGCCTGTTCCAATG